GGTTTAGAGGTTTGTCTATCAGCATCCAGCTCCACTGATTCTGTGCCCAGATGAGGGAGAACATTACAGGAAGCGCATGGCAGACAGCAAGCCTGTGGCAGCAAAGATGCTCGCCGCATGGTGTCCAGGAAGCAGAGAAAAGAGAGAAAAGGGCTAGCAATATGTTATACTCTTTAAAGGCACCCCCACTGATCTACTTCCAGCTAGGCTACTAAAAGTCACTCATCTATGAACTCATCAATGGATTGATGAAATTAGTGCTCTCAAAATCCAGTCAATTCCCAATTCTCACCTCTGAACAATGCACTGGGGCCATGCTTCAATACACAATTTGGGGAGAATCATTTTATATCCAACCCTAACATGAATCATTTACTAAAATCTACTTACATACTTTACAACCTTCCTTATAACTATGCAGTGCAACTGAGGTTAATATCACATACTCATACTACAGGTGCTTACCTTATAATGCCTTTGTATTTCAGCCAAAGCATAAACAACAGCAAAACTGCAAACCCTTTAACATAGAGGGCACGAGATGCTTTCACTCTGATGTACTGACCCTTGTGACTTTTAACTGACATTCCAGTACAGCAGTAAGTCACACTATTATTATTACTAGCTGTTATGAGTTTACATCCTTTGCCCCTTAGCAACAAATACAATTCCACCATGAGCAATGTAACTAAAACAGGTGGGAAGCATGACCTAAATTCCATTTCACACAAAAATCAGAAATACAGCACGCCTTTCATTCAGAAAATTCACTGTGTTTAAAGATGATGACTTTGTCTTTACAACTTGTAAATCTTAAAGCTCTTCAAGCCTGATAGCAACTCAAAGCACAGGTGTTAAAATAAAACCCAATTCCCACACAGTTCAGACTGAACTGTGAGAGTTTCTTAGTGTCTTCATTTCCATTTAAATATCCATACAATATCTGAAAAGTAAGACTCTTCCATGTGAAACCTTTTCATAGTTCCTTGTGAAGGACATCGATTAAAAATGACCACCAGGCTTTAACGAAGCATTAGGGAGCTTGTCCTCAGGTATGAGACTAAAATGAAAAGGGCAGCAAAAAACTACTCTGTTAAAAAATTTTAAAAAATGTGCAACCCATTCCATTCAAACCTTAATTCAGGAAAACTTTCTAACCTTCTTCGTTTACAGCAACACCTGGTGCAGAAAACAGAGACCTGCAGTATTCAGTGACCTAGACACTCAGTGAACAGTGCTTTAAAGATATGAGGTGTACAGGCGGATCTCTGTGAGTTCGAGGCCAGCCTGGTCTACAAGAGCTATTTCCAGGACAGCCTCCAAAGCCACAGAGAAACCCTGTCTCGAAAAACCAAAAAAAAAAAAAAAAAAAAAAAAAAAAAGAGGTGTAACATGAAGCTTCCTACATTATAGGTGTTTCACTACTCAATTTTATCAATCTATAACCACTACTGAAGGTTATGTTAGGCCATTCCATACTACTGTGATTGCTAGCCCGGTTCCTGATGCTGGCTGTAATTGGGAGTAAGGACAAATCTGGAGATGTTAGGAGAAAGAATGAAGAAAAGTCCAAGAAGACATTGCCCAAGAGTGACATATGAATGATGACATATGATGGTTTTCTTTTCTTTTGTTTGCTTTTTTTGAGGCAGCTCTGACTGCCCTGCAACTTGCTCTGTAGACCAGGTTGACCTTGAACTCAGAGATCTGCCTGTCTCTGCCTCCCTGAGTGCTGGGATTAAAGGCGTATGCCACCATCTCCTGTGACAATGGTTTTCTGAAACAAGATCCAACATTAGGACTTCCATGTTATTTTCTTTTTATGCATATGTGTGTGGTATTCATATGAACATGCGTGTTTACACAGGCGTGAAGGACAGAGGTTTATGTTGGGTGTCATCCTCAACCCTTCACTTTATTTACTGAAGTGGAGTCCCTTGCTGAACCTAGAGCTCGCTGATGGAGCTAGTCTAATTAGTCAATTTACCCAGGGGATCCTGTCTCAGCCTCTAAGTGCTGGGAGTAAAAGGTGCCATGCACTCTCAGTTTTTGTTCAGATCTGAACTCAAGTCCTCATGCTTTCATGGCAAGAACGTTATTCATCAAGTATTCTCTCCAGTTCTATTTTGTCTCCAGGAAGAACACAAAACATAAAATGCATATATGCAGGATGCAAGCCAGAGGAAAAGAACAAGAGAAGAATTAATAAGGTCTTTGGGAAACCACACAGTGGTTACAAAGTTCAGTCACTAATGCTCCAAGAGTCTACAGAACCTAACAAGTCTATTATTTAACTATCCTAAATGTGATCTCAGGAAGCAGGTTCTGCTCCACAGAAGGCCAGAAGCCGCACAGCTTTCCTCACCGGGACAGAAGACAAGCAGACCACTAAAGGCAGATCCAGTAAGTAAAAAAAGCAAGGGTAAACAGCACAAACAGCCTACATTTCACAATCACCTCAAATCCTTGTTCAATGATTGCCAGTAATGGATGCTCGCAATCCTAAACTTAGGACAAGAAGGATTAGACTACATTGTTCAAAAAGAAACTAAGCCTACAACATATTGTAAGATTTTTCTCATAAAAGTATACCTAAAATAAGAATTAGCACTCAATGCATTATTTCCTGGCTTTAGATAAATGAGGCAAAGGTATGCAACATTTGAGAACATGGACTAATAGACTTCCTTACTCTGCATTTTGCTCCCTCCTTCTTATGCATTCATAATTTCACACCCTTTGGCCTCCTTTTATAACAGTCTCCTCTAAAGTGGTCATTACCTTTCCACAAAATACTGACCTCAAACACACCAAAGCACACTGTCTCATTCTGCACCACACCTAACATTTAGCTCTGCACGCCCAAGATTCTTTAGGTCCAGAGACAGGCATTTCTTTTGTTTCTGGCAACAAAAAAAAAATTGCATCAGAAGACCTTTTCATTATTTAGAGAATAGCTTATTAATTTCTGTAATCAAGCCCACGAAGCAGAGGTCTCTAGTAGGCAGCTCTCTCTGTCATGTTGACATTATAAGTTAGTCAGAAAGAAATTTCAGTAGCAAAGTAAGGGCTTCTGTTCTGCACCCCAGACCCACATTATTGAACTCATTAGTCACACACAGGCTCAAAGAAGGAAAAGAGGTGTGTGGATGACGGAGAAGTACTTAAGGGAGAAACAGCCTTCCTTTCCCATCTCCAATGTGAGGGGCACAGGATGGCCATTACTGATGCTGCTTGTATGGTTTTACCAAGAATTCCAAGTTCATCTACTAAGGTAAAAACATTGGCTATCTATTCAACTGCTCAGCCAGTATATGCTGCAGGAGAAGGTGTATGTAGCTCCCCATGACCAGAGCTTGGACAGGCTGCAGACAGCTGGAACACCATGTAATCACAGGACTGAATCTCAAGACAACACCAATAAACAGTACCTTTTGCAGACATCTGCCTTGATAGCACATTTCTGACAAATCTGAAACACACAGCATTGCCTTTTTTAAATCATTCCTTTTGATTGAAAGGGGGGGCTAAAAAAATCTAGTATTTGCACCCAAATATCTGTTTTTCCTCACACTAATTTCCATTTACTAATTCAACCAAAAAATAGTTGATGTATACCTACTATGCACCCTATGAATTACAACTGTAAGAGTTACTGTGCTCCCTACCTCAATCCACAAAATCACCTTGTATTCAATCACAGATCAACCTGACATCCATATCTCCCTCTACTGTAACTGTGAGCACTCCAGTATGAGATCTTAGCACTCACCAAGGGTTAAAGTGTAAACAGTATCAACTTGTAAGCTGAACTTTCTGGCTTTACACTTATAGCACTGAAATGGTAGTCAGAGGGAGCTAATTCATGTCCTAAAAGTAAATAGAAAATTTCATTTAGGAATTGTAAATTCAGAAAAGATTTTTAAAAACAGAAGCTTTAAGGCTGCATGAAAAAGCTGAAATGGAAATTAAGAGCAGTGACTAAAAGTAAATAATCATTACACCATAAAATTACTATATGACATAAAAGATTATGAAAAATAAAAGCCAGTGACTTGTTTTTTCCAAAGTATACTTTTGTTCAAAATATACAAAAAAAAGGCCTGTGTTTAAATCAAGTGTACCTATTTTCTCACTAGCTCTAAGGAAACAAATCAACCCCATTTTCGCAAGGAAAGCTATGAATCCCGGATTTTTTTTCTTTTTTCTGTTTGGTTTTTGAGACAGGGTTTCCCTCCCAAGAGAAAGTTTCATTCCTGCGCTCACCACCTTTTCTTTTCTTTCTTTCTTTTTTTTTTTTTTTTTTTTTTTTTGAGACAGGGTTGCTCTGTGTAGCAGTCCTAGCTGTTCTGGAACTCAAGTTGTAGACCAGGCTGGCCTCGAACTCACAGAGATCCACCTGTTTCTGCCTCCCGAGGGTTGGGATTTAAGGAACGACCAAGCCCTGCATTATTCTCCTTTGATAAGCATTTTCAAATGTGGAATGGCATCTTGTTGGTGGGTAAACTGTTGGTTCTGGGACACAAAGTCTAACATCTTCACAAACTTTAAGAAAGTTATTAACTTAATACAATAATCTTAAATTTACTTTAAATTGGTTCAGAGCCTGCACAAATAATTTAGCATCTTTAATACCTGAACCTTTTCTCTGGATAATAAATGACATGCAGAAGCACTCTTGCTTAGCTCTAAGGTCTTGCATAAATTCAAGGAATGAGAAGGACAATGAAATCACTAGCCCAGTGAAATGCATGCATGAATTTACAACCCGAGTAATATAGGCACGGTTAATAAATGACAATCTTGACTTTACCCGATTACTGATTGGACTGCAAAGCCTAGACCTCAATGGTGGAAAGATCGCATTCTTCTTTTTTTCTTCCAACGTGAGCCATCAAACCTCCAGAGGGAAACTGGCTGAGTAGACGACCCTGACACCTGGCTCTAGACCCAAGTGACAACGTTAAACATTTCTTCTTCCCAAATTGTAAACGCCTTACCCATCCTACTGAAGAGTCTCTAAACGAAGTAACTGAATTAGGACCATCCACGACTTGTTTCCCCTTTTCTCCTTTACATCAGGAGCCTGATAACTGACTCTTGATTAAAAAGAATGTCTTATCACACTCCACAATCAAGGACACCGCTTAACAACGTTCACATTCATCATTAAGGCAACGTCTGAGTTCGTTCTTAAACGCCGGGCCATCACACCCGGAAATGAAACCGCCAGCGCAGTCCGCTCTGGACTACAGTCTCATCTCAAGTTGTGCCCCACGGCGCTCTGAGCGCACGACCCCAGGACACTGCTGCCTTCTCCGGCCCAGGGCCTGCAGGTCACTCGCGCTCCTCGGCCACCGTGCAGGCCCGGTAGGGACTCAACGAGAGCGCGCTCTTCGGCCACCATGAGGGCCCGGTAGGGACCCAGCGAGAGCGCGCTCCTCCCTGGGCCACCGACACCAGCTTAGCGTGGTAGGACGGCGACGCCAGGGCTGGGAGCCTCTGGGGACAGTGCTCAGCAGCGAGCACCGGTCACCGCAAGGACTCCCGGCCGTCTGCGCCTCAGCAGGGCCAGCACCACCGGCCGAGCCACCCGCAGCCTCGCGGGGAAGCCGGGAGCTCCGCATCCGGCCCCAGAGGGAGGTGCCCCGCCCCCCCGCCGTCCGCGCTTTCCCGCCCTCCCTCCCTCCCTCCCGCCGCACCCGGGCGGGGGTCGCGCGCCCTCTCCCGCCGCGCCGCTCACCTGGAGGGCCTCAGGCTCGCTCCATAGCCGCCCGCGCGGTGCGGTGCGGCGCGGCCCCGGCCGCCCCCGCCGCCTCCGGGGAGGGGCAGCCCCACGCCGCGCTCACCGCCCCCAGCCTCCGCCGCCGCCACTGCGGCTCCCGCCCACTGCCGGCCCGGCCATTCCCCGGCAGCCGCTCCCCACGGAGCCGGCCGCTCCACACCCACCCCCGCCTCCGCGCCGCTTGGCTGTTGGTACGGTCCTAGCGGAACGCCCTCCCCACGGCCAATCCCAGCGCGCACGCGGCGCAGCCCCGCCCCCCTTTGCGGAGGGGCGGGACTACCGGGCCACTCCGGACCGCCCACTTTAACCCCTTCATTCCCATTGCGTTCATCTCCGCAGTCACCGTCAGCGGGTATCCCCCAAGCCCCTTTACATAAACTACCTTCTGACTTCTCTCTTACCTCCACTTTTTCTTTCCCGCAGTCATCTAGGTGAAGTTCTATTCAGGAGAAACAATTTTCTTCTTTCTTGCACTCTTCTGTCTTGGCTTCTCTTTGGAGAAGTGTCCTTCCTTGACCAAAAGAGACCAGACTTCTCACCCTGGGAATCGCTCCAACTTCGGATCAGAGCAGAGCTCCCCGCTATACCTTTTCAGTAACACTAACACAATCCTGGTTATTTTATTGCAGTAGCAGTTGTTTTAGGTTTGTCCCTTGCGGTGGACTGGAAGCCGTAAGAGGGAAATCAGATGCGCCTTGGTTTCCAGTGCCCTGCACCCACCCACTAGACTCCTGAAGAGTGAATGAGATGCTCCTCCCCGCCCTTAACGTGTGTCCTTTCCACTCATTCCACACACAGCATCTACTGTGTAATGCATATAGTCTGCCTGTCCCTAAAATATTATGGTGTGTGTTCTTCATGGGATACGATTTGTATGGGAAGGTTGAAGACTAAGCAGGCATTTCTTTCAAGAAGGAAAGAAACGATTGGACTTTTTTCCCCCTCCCTGCCTGTATGTCATAGTAAGAATGCCATTTAACGTCTCTGAGTATAAGGTTCCTTGGAAAATGGCAGCTAATCACAGTACCTACTTTACAAGACTGCTGTGAGGTTTAAATAGGAGTGTGTGCAGAAAATACATTATCGTGTGAAGTTAGTTGTTATCTGTGTGTGTGTCGAGCCCTTTCAAGATCAGGAGATCCAGAGAAACTATTGGACTTGGCACCGGACCCTAGACAACCTAGTGAGAGAAAGTGGCCTCCGTCCCTGGAAGGAGTACACAGGTCAGCGCAGAAGAGCCTGTGCCAGCCTTCTATAGTGGTTGAAAAGGTTTGGGGTTGCTATCTGACCGGGGGGTGCACAATTCCTGGGGAAATTGTCTGGATGGTAATGAGAATCTGCCTCATTTCCCAGCCTCAACATGGGTCTGCTCGCAGCCAGCTCTCCTTCCCAGACATGCAGATCATGCAGCAAAAGAGGAAGCAAACAGTTCCCTCAAACCCTGCACCCAAAAGTGTCCCTTCTTGTCTGTCATCCTGATGACACTGAGGACGGACTCAGGCCCTCACTGCTGGGGGAGGGCTGACTCACTGGAAGCCTAGTCTCTGAAGGAGGGTTCTTGGCCCATGGAGACAATCCAGTCAGGCGTTTAATTTCGCCCCCCTCCTGAGAGGGTTCAGGATCTCTGTCAACGCTGTCACACAGAATACCTGGCCTCTCTCTCAGATTTCCAGTCACCAGGCTACATGTCTCAGGCTCTCTGCGACATGGCACCAGTGCTGTGCCTGACAGACACTCCATGACATCCTCAGGCCTGTAACAGCACACGCAGGCAGTATATTCTCAGTGTTGTGAGGGATGTGAGCATCTGAATGCGAGTGACTAGCGCACAGGACGCAGCTGCAAGGAAGACAGGCCACCTAAATCATGCAGCACAGACTGGGGACCGGAGTCTGGGAGGAATGTGGGCTGGAGTTGTCAGGGAGGAAGGATTGAGTGAGCAAAAGATGGGTGAAATAACAACAGGAACCAAAGCTGTGCAGTGTTATGAGAAGTTAAAAGTGATATCCTGGGCAGATAACACAGGGCAGACATGTTCATTCATTCGTCCATTTGTACATTCATTTATCTGCTGAACATATGAGTGCCAAGCATCAGATTAAACTTCAACCATGCAGAAATGAAGAGGGCCCCAGCCCCATCTCGAAGAAGCCTTCAGGCTCAGTGAAGTTCCTTCCTGAAATCAGAGAACTTGTAGAGTTGTATTCCTTTCCCTGGTCATGCGATGTGCTGTGGTTTTAAGTATCTAGCTAATATCCTCTTGGCCTTTCTCTCCCCTGCCCCGAGACCGTGAGCTTCTTAAAGCCACAAACCGTGACTTTGTGTACTAGAGGGCCTTCTCCAGGTACACATGCTGCAACTCATTGAGTTGGAACCAGAGCAGGGAACGGGTTGTCCCTTTCCCGCGGAGAGCAGTGGACCACCCTCAGCAGAGGAATAGTAATGGAATGCTACCAGAGGCTAGCCCGTGGCCTGCACAATTCACCAGGAGCCTTCCTTCGTGCTTGGCACATACAGTTCCAGCATATACAGTTCCTTAAACTCCTCTCCACAGATTGCACCAGTGCTGCTTTCCCAGTGAGATTCCTCCTCCCTGACCCAGCCTCGGGAGTGCTAAACATCTCCCCATGTCATTTGACCTTTCGTGGGCTTTCCAGCTGTGTTGCCTTTCCTGAACCCCTTGGGAACCTTGGTTGGACCTCTCTGATGGCATGGTTTATTGAGGCTGTGCAGGATTTCTTTGTCACTGTTCCCATGGTACAAAGCCTTGCAATGCCAAAGAAAGTGTTGCGTTGATTTCTGTGTCTTCTGTAGCGTCAGCACTGTAGATGGATGTATAAACATGCCCTGGATAGAGAAACTTAAGGATAGCAGATCCCATAAGACCAGGTGCCTAGCTAGCGCTTGCTCCCTGTATCATTTTAACCGTTTCTAAAAACTGCTTCAGAACTTCCAAGCCTCAGTCAATTTGTGAAGTCCCAGGCCTCCAGCAAAGGCAAGACGTTAGGAAAGCATTTTCTCCTAACGCCTGAACACCTAAAGGCAGCACACACTGTTTCTTTGAACCTACTTAATACACGCACCATGATGGATCCCCTGAAACTAATAAGCAGATTCTACATCAAGCAAGTTGAGGAGAGCCTCAGAAAACTCGGTCTAGGAGCCTGGGGAGAGATTAGCAAGGAAGGTTAGGGAGTGATGATGCACACACATTCTGCCATTCGCTGCCAGGAACAAGAGCTCCATCTCAGCTGCCTCTGGGAAGCCTTGTTCTCCGCAAGAGGCTCTCCCTGGACAGTAGCTTCTGACTTTCTCTCCCTACACAACCGATGCCTTTCTTTCATTTTACAACCACCTCTGCAGAATTGCTCTCAGCCTTCTTCTTTCTGATGGCAGTAGACTGCCCACCTAATCCTTCATAGGGCGCCTCTACTAAGACCACCTGAGCAAGTCATTTGTGTCCCAGGTCAGGCATCATGCACGACCTACACACGCAAAGGCAGCTTCTTCGCTGTGACAGGCAGATCATGTGTTCCGAAAGGGGTAGAAATCTTCCAGTTATTTTTTTCTACCCTTGTAATACTTTTTTTTCCAAGGCTTCTTTTTTTTTTAAAGATTTATTTATTGTGTATACAGTATTCTACCTGCACATATGCCTACACGCCAGAAGAGGGAGCCAGATCTCATTACAGATGGCTGTGAGCCCCAATGTGGTTGCTGGGAATTGAACTCAGGACCTCTGGAAAAGCAGCCAGTGCTCTTAACCTCTGAATTATCTCTCCAGCCCCCCTTGTAATACTTTTTTTGGGGGATTCAAGGCAGGGTTTCTCTGTGGCTTTGGAGGCTGTCCTGGAACTAGCTCTTGTAGACCAGGCTGGCCTCGAACTCACAGAGATCTGCCTGCCTCTGCCTCCCGAGTGCTGGGATTAAAAGCGTGTGCCACCACTGCCCTGCACCCTTGCAATACTTTTTAAAGAGCTGCACTATTGAGATACAAGTTTTAAGCATACAAATCACTGCCTTTTAGTATATTTACAGAGTTGAGTCAACATTATATACCTGGATTTTAAAATATCATCCCTCCCAAGGTAGTATGAACCATTTTCTCTCACTGTAAAATCTATCTAGCTCTATTTTTTAAATATGCACATTAAAGCAAAAAAGGAAAAACAATAATAAGAGAGTGAAAGTCTTCAGAGGAATGTAGCTGTCACAGCTGTGATTCCCTTAACTGCCCTGTGTATCAACAGCAGCTTAATAACCAAGTTGCTTACTATGTTGGGGTGTTCACTCCAATAGTGTCCAGGGCCACATCTTTGAGTACATTCCAATTTGCTGTGATTCTCTAGTGCTCCATATGGCTCTTCTGCAACTTGAGCAGAGATGATTCTACAATCCTGTTCTCAAAGGCAGCAACTCTATAACACGGCTGAGATGGCACCACATTCCCGGAGTAGTTCATTTAATATCTGCTGTGTCTATGTAGAAGATAAAAAGAAGCTCTTTGTTTTTGTTTCTGTTTTGAAACAGGGTCTCACGCTGTAGCCCTGGCTGACCTAGAACTCACTATGTAGACCAGGCTGGCCTCAAACTCACAGAGATCCACCTGACTCTGCCTGCTGGGACTAGAGGTGTGTGCCACCATGCCTCCCCTAAATGCTTTAGGTGATATGAACTCAGTTTACTGCATGAAGTAGTTACAGTTACATGGACGTTCTGGGTTTTTTGTACTTCTTCAAAACCAGGAAGCATCTGCCATGAACAGCAACATGGTCCAATCTCTCTTATGGACCCTCTGGAATATTCTAGAGCTGCTATTCTCCAGCAG